ACAATGAAATGAAATAAAATATATCAAAATAAAATAAAATATAGCAAAGTATAATGAAATGAAATAAAATCTAGCAAAGTACAATGAAATGAAATAAAATATATCAAAATAAAATAAAATATAGCAAAGTATAATGAAATGAAATAAAATCTAGCAAAGTACAATGAAATGAAATAAAATATATCAAAATAAAATAAAATATAGCAAAGTATAATGAAATGAAATAAAATCTAGCAAAGTACAATGAAATGAAATAAAATATATCAAAATAAAATAAAATATAGCAAAGTATAATGAAATGAAATAAAATCTAGCAAAGTACAATGAAATGAAATAAAATATATCAAAATAAAATAAAATATAGCAAAGTATAATGAAATGAAATAAAATCTAGCAAAGTACAATGAAATGAAATAAAATATATCAAAATAAAATAAAATATAGCAAAGTATAATGAAATGAAATAAAATCTAGCAAAGTACAATGAAATGAAATAAAATATATCAAAATAAAATAAAATATAGCAAAGTATAATGAAATGAAATAAAATCTAGCAAAGTACAATGAAATGAAATAAAATATATCAAAATAAAATAAAATATAGCAAAGTATAATGAAATGAAATAAAATCTAGCAAAGTACAATGAAATGAAATAAAATATATCAAAATAAAATAAAATATAGCAAAGTATAATGAAATGAAATAAAATCTAGCAAAGTACAATGAAATGAAATAAAATATATCAAAATAAAATAAAATATAGCAAAGTATAATGAAATGAAATAAAATCTAGCAAAGTACAATGAAATGAAATAAAATATATCAAAATAAAATAAAATATAGCAAAGTATAATGAAATGAAATAAAATCTAGCAAAGTACAATGAAATGAAATAAAATATATCAAAATAAAATAAAATATAGCAAAGTATAATGAAATGAAATAAAATCTAGCAAAGAAACAATGAAATGAAATAAAATATATCAAAATAAAATGAAATATAGCAAAGTATAATGAAATGAAATAAAATCTAGCAAAGTACAATGAAATGAAATAAAATATAGCAAAATAAAATAAAATATGGCAAAGTACAATAAAATACAGTAAAATAATACAAAATTGATTGAAACCCGCTAAGACACATAGATCCAAAGACCAGCGAATGTATCCATTGTCGCGATCCGGAAAGATAAATTCGAAATATAAAAATGGGAGAACTCACCCCCGCAGAATGGCACTGGAATCGATCTATCGAGAGGATCTCGCCGAAGGAGCGGTGGAACGCTGGACGCAACAAGATCGACGGAAATCACGTGTCACACGAAAAATCGTCCTCGTTTGGATCGAGAGTTTCTGGATCGGGCCGCGATCTCGCGCACTCGCGGAAATCGAACTGACGACGGGGCACGCTTGTTCCGGAAGCGGTTCAAGGGAGGAGCGTGCACGTACTCGCGCCACGAAGGCCCGCGCACCACTGCCAGAGAGACTCGACTCGCCTCGACTCGTGTCGTCCCGTGTCGTCGGCACGCGTTACTTTCGGGAAACTCTCTCTCTACCCTCGGATGGTGGGAAAACTCGGCCGCGCGGAGGGGGAAAAAGCCATGGGGCGAGGGGGACGGTGGGAGAGTTTCCCGCGATCGCAGACCTTTGGCCGCCGGCGAGTTCCGCGATCACGTCCTATGGCCGAGCGGATCTCTTTTGGAACGAGGCAACTTCGAACCGGAATCGGTTGTTCCGCCGTCAAAAAGTCTGACAATCGCCTGCGGATGTCACCGAAGAAACCCGGAACATTCGAAACCGTTCTGTTTTCGATTTTGGTTTGAAACAATTCCGGAACGTCCGCTTGTTTTTCAAAACGCGAGCTTTGGTTGACAGAGTTTCGGTGACAGGTTTCGACGATTTGTTGTACAACTCTGGTCAGAGTCGGTGTTTCGCCGCCAAAAAATTTGACAGCGGCCTCCGGACATTGTTGAATACGTCCGCGGTATTTAAACACCGATATGTTTTCTATTTGCGTTTGAAAAAATTCCGAAATGTTGTCTTTTTTCTCAGACTACAACTTTCGTATACGATTTCAGCGATGAGTTTCGACTACTCGTTGCACTAACTTCGAATAGAATCGGCATTTTGCGTTAAAAAAATTCAACAATGTCTTCCAAATATTGGCGAATAGATCCACGAAGTCTTGATGAGGAATGTTGATTACTTTTGTTCAAGAAAAATTGTAGAAGATGACCCAGTTTGCTCAACAACTTTCGTACAACGGGACTTCGATAATTAGTTTCGACCATTTGTCGTAAAAATTTCGAATTTCCCCCTGAAAAAATTTCACAGCATCTTCCAGACACTGGTGAATATGCTCATAAAATTTAAAGTCGACATATGTCCTCCGCTTTTGTTTAAAAAATTCCGAATTGTCGCTTTTATTTTCAGACCATGACTCTTGTATAAAAGAACGTCGATGTCGAGTGCGAACTATTTGTTACATAACTTCGGACAGAGTCGGTGTTTCTGTATAAAAAAATTTGACAATGTCCATTGCCAAACGAACGTGCAAAATTTAAAATCGATACGTTCTCCGTTGCCGTGTAAAAATATTCCGAAACGTCGTCATGTTTCTCAGCTATTTCTCTCTCGGACAATAATCATGTACGAATATTTGTCGTAACAACTTCCAACAAAGTTAGCATTTTTGCATAAAAAAGATCGACGATTTCCTTCGAACTGAGATGAACGAGTCCGAGTTTCTCGCGTCGCCATACGGTTTCATTTTGATATGTTTTCTGCTGCTGCTAAAAAATATTCGCAACGTTCTGTAAAATGCGAACAAATATCGTGCACGTAATTTCTGTAATTTCTGCAATTTCCGCATTTCTGTAATTTTTAAAAACAATCTGGCGAATTCGAAATTGAGCGGCTTCTGTAACGGAAGCATAATATTCGGGCGCAGTATTTTCGGAACGCAGTATAAAGAATTTGTTCCGCGGCGCCGTTCCCGTTCCATTATTTTTACTGTTGGCGAAACATGTACTCCCTCCGTCCAGAGAGAATGAATCATTTTTATTGCAGTCGCGAAACCCGTTCGTTTCGTCTTGCGTCTCTCCTTTCGAGTTAAAGTTACACAGAGAGACGGAGCTAATTACCTTTGTCGCTTCTGTTTCTGTTTGCGACACACATTTTCGCGGATTTCCTCCCCCCGCGAGATTTTCACCGTCAACGGCCGCTGTAAAATATTTCGTAGGCGTTTGTTTAGCAGCCTGTTCGTACCATCGGCGGAGCGACGAATTATTACGGTTCAGCGTGGAAAAATTAATGAAAAGACGGATCTTTCGGATAATATTAAACGACGGTTCGGCGGATTCGCACAGTCGAGTGCAATAATGTCTTCCAGGTCAAAGAAACTTAACGCTCCGAAAGCGGTTCAGTTGTGTTTCCCTTGAGACTCTACCGGGGATCTAGACTCCGCATAGATCCCACGGCTTTGCTCACTATTAATAATAATTCGGGAGAACTGGTGCAATCAATATTCTTCTTGATAATACGCGCGGAATAATTGTTACGGTTACTGCAACCTCCAATGGAATCGGTATTCTTCGACGACAAAATTCGATATCTTTCGAACACTGATGAATAAACCCGAAAAGTTTTGAGACGATCTGCTTATCGTTTTTATTCATAATAATTCTAAAAGATGTCTCTGTCGCCGATTTATGATTTTAATACAACTGCACGTTATCGATGACTTTTAATTATTCGTTGTAATAACTTCGAGCAGAACCGGTATTTTTGCGTTAAAAAATTCAACGATATCGTTTGGATACTGTTGAATAGACCCACAAAGTTTGACGGCAACATGTTCGTTGCTTTTGTTTAAAATAGTTCTAAAAGTTGGTGTTGTTCTTCAATCTACGATTTTTGTATAAGATAAATTATTAATTAACTTCGATCCAAATTGGTATTTTTGTGTTAAAAAATTCAACAATATCGTTTGGATACTGTTGAATACACCCACAAAGTTTGGCGGCAACATGTTCGTTGCTTTTGTTTAAAAAAGTTCTAAAAGTTGGTCTTATTCCTCAATCTATGATTTTTGTATAAGATAAATTTATCAATCGGTATTAATTAACTTCGATCTAAATTGGTATTTTTGTGTTAAAAAATTCAACAATATCGTTTGGATACTGTTGAATAGACCCACAATGTTTGACGGCAACATGTTCGTTGATTTTGTTTTAAAAAGTTCTAAAAGTTGGTCTTGTTTCTCAATCTACGATTTTTGTATAAGATAAATTCAGCAATCGGTATTAATTAACTTCGATCTAAATTGGTATTTTTGTGTTAAAAAATTCAACAATATCGTTTGGATACTGTTGAATAGACCCACATAGTTTGACGGCAACATGTTCGTTGCTTTTGTTTTAAAAAGTTCTAAAAGTTGGTCTTGTTCCTCAATCTACGATTTTTGTATAAGATAAATTTAACAATCGGTATTAATTAACTTCGATCCAAATTGGTATTTTTCCATTAAAAAATTCAACGATATCGTTTGGATACTGTTGAATAGACCCACATAGTTTGACGGCAACATGTTCGTTGCTTTTGTTTTAAAAAGTTCTAAAAGTTGGTCTTGTTCCTCAATCTACGATTTTTGTATAAGATAAATTTAACAATCGGTATTAATTAACTTCGATCCAAATTGGTATTTTTCCATTAAAAAATTCAACGATATCGTTTGGATACTGTTGAATAGACCCACATAGTTTGACGGCAACATGTTCGTTGCTTTTGTTTTAAAAAGTTCTAAAAGTTGGTCTTGTTCCTCAATCTACGATTTTTGTATAAGATAAATTTAACAATCGGTATTAATTAACTTCGATCCAAATTGGTATTTTTCCATTAAAAAATTCAACGATATCGTTTGGATACTGTTGAATAGACCCACATAGTTTGACGGCAACATGTTCGTTGCTTTTGTTTTAAAAAGTTCTAAAAGTTGGTCTTGTTCCTCAATCTACGATTTTTGTATAAGATAAATTTAACAATCGGTATTAATTAACTTCGATCCAAATTGGTATTTTTCCATTAAAAAATTCAACGATATCGTTTGGATACTGTTGAATAGACCCACAAAGTTTGACGGCAACATGTTCGTTGCTTTTGTTTTAAAAAGTTCTAAAAGTTGGTCTTGTTCCTCAATCTACGATTTTTGTATAAGATAAATTTAACAATCGGTATTAATTAACTTCGATCCAAATTGGTATTTTTCCATTAAAAAATTCAACGATATCGTTTGGATACTGTTGAATAGACCCACATAGTTTGACGGCAACATGTTCGTTGCTTTTGTTTTAAAAAGTTCTAAAAGTTGGTCTTGTTCCTCAATCTACGATTTTTGTATAAGATAAATTCAGCAATCGGTATTAATTAACTTCGATCCAAATTGGTGTTTTTGCATTAAAAAATTCAATAATATCTACCACACTCTGCCCAATAAGCTCGCAAAATTTCGCGGAAATATCATCACCGCCTTGACTTAAAAAACTTCTCATCCCATTACAATTTCTGCACGAAGCAGTGACGTTTCTTTATTGCCATAACTACGAACGTTGTCGGTAATTCCACACGAAAAAATTCTACGGCTTCTCTAAAACACCGATGCATGAACCTATAAAGCCTCGATCCGATACGTTTATTAGATTCGTTTAAAAAAAATCTCGAAGATATTATAGAAAACACGATGTCAGGAAAATTGCGAAGAAGAATGAAGAAGAGTCGAGCGACGATGAAAAGAACAACGTTGCACACACGGTTCGATCCAATTTCAATGAGAGGGAGGACGGCTGAATGGCGAAGAGAAGAAAAAGTAAAGGGTGTGACAGCCGCTAGTCAGGGTTACAACGAAGGTTCACCGAAACCGCGAGCCACTCGTTCGGCAGGTCGAGTACGGTCTACGGGAAAGTATATCGCGGTTGCGCTTTTCATTGCTGAAGAAAACTGCGCACCCCTTTCACTCTTCAGAGGGTTGCGCGCCCTCGCTTTTGTTCCGCGCCGACGTTCCTCGAACGTTGATGCCGCGTCCTCGCGACGTTCGATTCTTGACCTACAGATTTTCCGAGTTTCTCGCCGCCGCTAAATTCTGCTCCGTCGATCCAACGAACTTCCGACGCGAAATTTCATCCGCGAAGAATTTGCGAACGAAAGCCAACGGTGGCCTGGAGCCACAGATCAAATTGAAAACGGGAGCGAATGCTGGGAACGAGAAAAAATGATGAAAAATAATGATGAAAAAAGGTGGTAATTATTTATAAAAAGGTCGTCGATTTCGAAATTTGGATGTATTGTTTGTATTATAGCTTAACGTTTTGTATTTTTCATTTATAGAAAATGTCGTTTTGTATTAGTTTCCGAGATATTTAAGAAAAACTGTAAACCCAACACAGACCTAACACAGACCTAACACAGACCTAACGCAGACCTAACGCAGACCTAACCTAGACTTAACCTGTACTTATAA